CTTCTGGCTGGTGGCAGAGAGTCCCCAGTGCCTGGGCATAACCGCTGTGTCCCAGGGAAGCTTGGAAGAGTGAGACAGAGAGGGCAGGTTGGATTTGTGTGTGGCTGGGCACCAGCAAATCGCAGGTTTCAGGAGTGTTTTTCAGGATCCCACAATCAGTTTGAACATGGTGCTTTGGCTTTTTTACTGGATCTGGCCCTTTCCCATCCCTTTGTAGAGGTGATTCCCATGGGTGGGAGCTATGATCTGTCTGAAAGGACCCACATGCTCYGTTGGTGAGGAGAGCTGGGCCCATGGGGCTTTCAGCTGCCCAGACCAGGAAAACCACCCAGCTCCTGCAGGTCTCGCTCTGCTGGGCATTGTCAGCCTTCTCTGCCACAAGTACACRTCCTCCATGTAAGATACAGTTATTTTTGGATTTCTTTGAAGCAAACAGCATTTAGCATATGTCATCTTCTATGTATGTCAGCATCAGCTTTAGAGCATCTTCTCCAAGGAGAAGGTTCTTGGGAAATGTTGTTCTGTTTCTGCCAAGCCTGAAATCAGGTGAGGGGCATTGTATGCCATGGACGTGSGGAAAGGTGATGCTGCCCTGGAGATTTTCTGGTTGACGTGGTAGAAGGAATGCCTGAATCCAGGGGGATAGCAGTTAGAGAATGTGTCAACCCATGCTTTAAAAAAATTGTATTTTTAAGCCATTTATTGATCTTCCCTAAGGAAGAGCTGAAGAGTTGCTGGATTTTAAGGTTCCAGATAACTTGTCTGCAGGACACTTGTGTCTGCAGGATTGCTGGGAATGTGCAGCTCATCCATGTCTATCCATGTGTACCCACATGGAGGAGCCTGCATGGGAAGGGTTGTGGAGGAGGAAGGTGTCATTCCGACCACAACTCCTGAGCTTGCTCCAGCCAGACTTGCTCAGTTTCCCTCCTTAGCCCATGTTTTCCCTCCTCTCCCAGCAAATCCTCTCTGGGATGCCTCTGAAACCGGGCACTGGCTGAGTCCATGGCTCTTCCAGCACGTCCCACCTGTAGCCCTTGGTGGCTCCATCAGATCCCACATTTTGAACCCCGAAGGGGAGTGCGGAGATGAGAGGGGGCTCTGCAAGGAGATGGGGGCCCCACCAGTGGCCCCCCAACTTAGGGCACAGKAGAGGCTGCACTTTAATCCCATCTCCTTGCTCCGGCATCCCAGCATCCCGCTGCCAACAGAGCTCCCGTTGTTTACCCAACTCGGAGGAATCGGTTTACAAGGCTCACAAATCCCCTTTTCACCTTTCCCATCAGAAAACACCTCCCGAAACAATGAAGAAATTGGACGCCGCCACCTGATCGCTCCCAAGGAACCTGCGGGGCCGGGAGCTGGGGGCYGGGAGCGGCGCTGGGGATGGGGATGCCTGGCTGGGGTGGCTGGGATGCTCCCCCGGCTCTGCGGGTGGGCAGCCGTGGGTGCCACCCAAAAATCACCTCAGGGGCTTTAACRGATGAAGCTGGCAGGGTTCTCCACCTGCTCAGCTGGCAAAAAAAATACTTGTTTAAAGCTTTAATTAATAGTTCCCACCCCCTTGGACTCCAGGAGAAAGGAGGCTGGGATGTTACCTGTGAGCTGGTGATRGTGCCAATCACAGGATCTCAGAATGGTTTGAGTTGGAAGGGACCTTAAAGTTCATCCAGTTCCACTCCCTGCCATAGTCAGGGACACCTTCCACTCTCCCAGGTTGCTCCAAGCCCTGTCTAACCTGSYCTTCAACACTTCCAGGATGGGGCAGGAATAAAGCTGGACCCACTATCCTCCTCCTGAGTGGTGAGTGAGGTAGAGGAGAGTGATTCTTAATGCTATGTGTTGTTTCAGCATTGAAGTTGAGCTAAAACTTAGCTTTTCTCTTTTTTTTTTTTTTTTTTTTTCCCCCTTTCCACCTTAAAACAGGGAAATCAAACTCTGTTTTCTGGAGTAACAGCAGATTCCCCCTTCTCTCCCTGAAATTACAGCGGGTGCTCTGAGGGCACAATGAATTTCCCTATTAATTTAAGAGTTGCTGTGTTCATTCCTCCGGGTTAAGATAAATCTGCAGACATGTCCTTGTGAAGACAAGTCAAGAGTGTAATTCCTTTTTGTCTTCAACCATCCCTYGGAACTAAAATTCCTCGTCTGCAGAACTGGCTGAAATCCTGTGTTCAGGCAACATGTGACAATATTTGGACCCTTTTTTCCCCCCTCCTTTTCCTGTGATAAATGTTGCCTTTCACTGTGTATTTTAAAGCAGAATTTCCTGGAGAACTGGCCTCTGGCATGGTGGGAGCTGTTGTTGGTCTTCCCTACTACCATCATCACAAGCTGTTCTTGTGACAAAGCCGATTTTTTTTTGGGAAATAAAGGTCTCTGTGTGTGTTGAAGAGCTGAAAGAGCTGTGTGAGGGGTTCGACGCACGCGCCTCGGGTTTATCTCCTCCTCCTGTTCTGCCCAGGCTGTCATCTGGGAACAGCCCTGCTCTTGGAGAAGAGGGGAAATGAAGGAGAAAAAAAACCAGGAAAATTGGAGGACAAAGGGAAAACCGCCTGTGTGCMGGTGGGAATGTGGCTGGTGGGGAACAGCAGTTGGAGGGAGTAGCACAGAGAAGTGGCTCTGTCTTGCTCCATGTTTGCATGAATCTGGAAGATGTTCCTGGGCTAATTCCCAGACAGCAGCTGTGTGCTTCTGGAGCTGAGATTGGGTGTTCGTGGAAGGGATTTGCCTCTGTGTTTTATCCTCAAATAAACCAAAGGTAGGCCTTGGTCCTGAAGTTCCTGAGATGAAGAGGTGCCAGCAGGATGTGGTGCTGGGAGGTTCTCAGCTTGGTTGCTTCATGGCCCCTCCCCTGCTTACAAATCCRTTTGGCCTCATCCCAACAGGCTGGTGGCCCAGGGACCGGTTGGTTTGCAGGTGTTGGCCAAGGTTTTGGCCACAGAGGTGTGATAGGTTCTCCTGGTATGGAGATGAGGGTGGATAGGAGCCTTCTTCTCCTGCTCTGGCAGTGCAAGACATCTGCTTGACTTGTTTGTGGCTTCCTGTTTGGCATCTTCTGGGCAGGAGGGAGCTGGCAGGGGCTGGAGGAGGGAGCTTGAGTCACTCCAGAGTCCTGTGCCAGGAAGCCTCTGACTCAGCCCAACCGTGGAGAAAGGAGTGTGGGATCCAGCTGCCTYTCAGGGTGGGAACCCGTGCAAGTGTTCACTTGCGCTGCGTGTCTGCGGCCGGGCRGGGAGGGAGGGCCAGGGGCTGCTCCCGGCTCCTGCTCCTGCTCTGGCCTTGCGTCAGGGCTCCGGCCGTGGGTGGGGAAGCCTTTATCGCTCCCAAGCCTTTGGAAGTGCCTGCTGGCCACTGGCCAGGTGACCTAGTTGGTAGTGTGAAGCAAAGCATGGCTCACCTGCTGGCAGTACCAGGATGGAGCTGGGCTCTGCATCGAACCTGCATCCCTAAAGATCCTTCATGGGTCAAGTTTTCCAGTCTCTCCTGGTCACCTTCAGCCAGAATCATGACTTGTACAAAACTCCCTGCAACCTCATGTGGCCAAGATGCTGCTGTGCTAGTGGTGCTGGGATTGGGATGATCCCAACTGTCCCCTTGAATGCCYCTTTGTGTTGCTTTGGGTACTGCTGGAGCTGATGTGGTGGAGACAGAGCCACAGCCAGGCAGGGAGGATGGACCCATAACCTCCCTAAGTCCAGCTCCRTGATGGGGCTGTGCCCGTCATCCCYGTGCCATGACCTGGGTGCCAAGGATTCTTCTCCAACCCTGTGAGCTGGCAGCGAGGTGCAGGTGATGTCTGTGTGTCTGCCCTGCTGCTGCAGCTGGCACCGAGCTCCGGCGCCTGTGCCAAGGGTGCTGGGGGTGCGTGGGCTCTGACTCCGCCTGCCTGCTCCCAGCCTGGCCTGTGGATCTGCCSTGCTCCTGCATCCAAATGCCTGCTGCTGCTTCCAGCTCTGTGGCTTCTTGCTAAGACTTGCAYGGAGCCACGGAGCGGGTTGGTGTTGTGTGTTTGATCTTCCTTCTGTGGAGCCTGCAGCTTCAGCCCGAGCAGCTGGCTGGGGGAAAACGTATCCCGGCCCCCATCCAATGTCCAGGGTGGGCTGGGGCAGGGGTGAGCTGTGTCCGACAGCGGAAGGGGAAGCGTGGCTATGCAGCCTTGGCAAAGCACTCACTTTGGGTTTTGCCGTGCCCAGATTACGTGAGGGAGTTGCAGCAGAGATAACTCTGCAGGAACATCCATTCCCACCTTATCTCCCATCAGGAGCGCGTTTAGTTGCCTACATCAAAGTAGATGATCTGCTCCTTCCCTCCTTGCTGCCCTAATCCTCTCCTTCACGCTGAAAAAACCTAATCAGAGCCTTGCCCCRCCGTAACAAGATCCAAATGTTAATTATCAGCATCTTGCCTTCCTTCCCTTCCCAATGCCCTGCCTTCCAGCCCCRAATAGCTTTCCTGCTCCTTGCTCTTCTCCATCCGGTCCTCCCACGCTCCTGGGCACGCTGTTGAGCCTGGCTCCGGAGAAGTTGTCCTGCAGGATGCTTCCCTCCCTTCCATTTAAGGACAGGAATTCCTCGGGGAGCCGGGGCGTGGATGGGATCACTCCCTGCGCCCCATTGTCAGGACTTCTCCCCATGCCTAATTATTGCYTGTCCCTGCAGGAAGCTCCTTGCCTGGCCGTCGGGCAGAGCCGTGGCGTCTCCCAGCCCATTGTGGAAAGACTCATTCCCTGTTGGATGCCAGGCTTGGGGAAGGGTGTCCGCCCTTGTTGTGGCTGGCGAGCGGGACTGACCTGAGCCAGCCCTGTTTTTGTCAGCAGGAGTCTGTGCTGGTTCCATGCAGCACGGTGGGATGGTGAGGGAAGAAGAGAACTTGATTTTGGTGTCAAAACCCATCTTGCAGAGTTGAAGCACAAAATAACTGGTGTCAGAGTGGGGTGGACCGGCTTGGCGTGGCCTCTACTCTAGCACATGGTAACCTCTTGCCCTCCTCTCTTCCAGGTTCATGACTGGGAAGGGACTGGTCATCTACCCAGAGATTGGGGATAAACTGGACATTATCTGCCCCAAGGCGGAGCCATCCAAGCCTTACGAGTACTACAAGCTGTACCTGGTGAGGAAGGAGCAGGCGGATGCCTGCAGCACCGTCATGGACCCCAACGTGCTGGTGACGTGCAACCGGCCCGAGCAGGAGATCCGCTTCACCATCAAGTTCCAGGAGTTCAGCCCCAACTACATGGGCCTGGAATTCAAGCGGCAGCAGGATTACTTCATCACATGTGAGTCGCCCTCCTCTGCCTCGCTGCCAGCCCTGGCTCGGGGGAGCTYGGGTGCCTGGAGAGTGTCACCAGGCACTCGTGTGTGACTTGGCCGGTGCAGAGAACTGACACGGATGGAAAATATGTCCTGCTGGATGGCAGCAGAGGGAGGAATGTGTCACTGGCCAAGTGGGTCACTGGTCCCTATCTGGCTGCTGTGCAGTGTCCGGGCTGGCCGGCCAAGCAAAAGCATGGCCCCAGCTGGGGTCRGTCTGGGGATGTTGTCATGCCTGGAACCTATTTTTTGCAGCAATCTTTGCTGGAGGTGTTGCAGGGCTTTGCTTTGGGGCTGGGGAGAAAGAGGAATGGTGTCCAGGGAGATGCTTGTTCTTATTCCTGTATGTTGCCTTCAAGAGCAGCCCCAGCAGAAGGAARTGCTGGTGGTGTCCAGTGTGTGATGTGATCAAAGTGGCTGAAAAATTCCTCACACTGGCATGTTCTGTTGGTCTCTTGGTGCACCTTGGCATTTTCTGGAGGGGAGAGAGGAGACTGGGATTTTCTCGAAGCCTGTGGTCTGTGTGTGCAGGGGAACACTGCTCAGGGAAGTATCCGCTTGTGCCTGCTCCAGTGTAGATGAGGGGGGAGCTGGGGAGCTCAGCCATGTCTGGGCAGTGCTGCCAGCTCGCTCTTTGTCCCCTCTCCTCCTCCTGAGCTTGGCTGTCCCCGCCTGGCTCGGTGCTCTGCAAAGGGCACGGTGGCCGCAGCCCAGCTCCCCTCGCCGTGTGCCGCGGGCTCTGCGGTGAGCGGCCGGTGCAGGGGTCACTGCCCGCATGGGAGCRAGCGCCTGGCCGTGGGAGCGGTGTGTTCCCGCCTGCAAACAGGGTATTTTTAGCCTGGTGTTTTTAGGAGGGGGTGGCGAGGCCATGGTGGGCAGTGGGAGGAGGGGGGCTATGCTGTAGCGTGGTGCCATGGTGATGGTGCTGGTCTGGATGTCCCCAGCGAGTCCGGCTGGGGCTGTTGCAGTCTTGGTGCAGAACCATTTGGGATAAACCTGACACAGAGGAAGCAGCCGGGCCTSGCTCTGGCAGGTCAGCCTTGAGCCCATCATCACTTCTGTCACGGCAAATTTTGCCGAGTGCTTCCTGACACGTGGCTGAGCCAGGTGGTGACAGGGACTTGCGGTGGGCTCTGTTCCCTGTGTGGCCGTGGAGATGCCAGAGTGGCTCCTGGATGGTCAGCCAGGGATGTTTCCCCARCAGGAGGGGTGACAGCAGGGACGACCTGGCGCCACAACCTGCGGAGCCAGCTCGGYTCGGCACGGTGCCAGCAGCAACCGTGGGCTCTGTGGGGCTGAGTCACTGTGACAGGGCTGGGCTCCTCCAGAGCAATGGTCACTTCACTATCCAGATCTGGGGACATCTGTYCCATGTCACTTGAGGGGCCCCAGCTTTGCAGTTGTCACGGGGCAGGACACCTTAGTTCCAGTCCAGGTGCCCCGGTTAGGCTGGGGATGCCAAAAGCCCTGGCACAGCTCCAGTGTAGGCTCCCATGTCCCTTACCAGCACTGGCACCAGCCTGGTGGCTCTGGGACCCCAAGGTTCAGCCCTTCTGCTGTCCCTCAGCTGATACAAAGCTTTATTGAATACAAGCTTTGCCTGCAGTGTGCAAAAATTGGAAAGAGAGGCCAAAGTGCCAGATTTGGGTCAGGCTGAGATCTTGAAGCTCTCGGTCAGCGGCTCCTCTGTTTGGGGGTCAAGTTCAAGCGCTGACATGGTCAYCAAGCTAATGAGGGCTGAAATTGGAGTCCTCCAAGCTGCATCCCATCCTCAGGCTGCAAAGAGCCCTCAAAAATAAATAGGTTCCCCAAAACGAGCTCAGGAGGCGAACAAAGCACTGAGAAGAAGAAATATGGGATCCCTCTTATGGTAACCAAGTCCAGCAGGAAGGTGGAGGCAGAAGGATTTACCAGCCTCTGAATTACCCAAATTTTAAGGAGCTGTTTTGCATTTCACACGAAAACTTAAGTGAAAATCAACCTCCCGGAGCTTTGGGAGGCACTTTCACAAGCGGCCGCTGGTGCGTTGCTGACTCCAAACACGGCTCCCGCGAGGCCCCTGCGGCTTTGAGCTGGTGCCAGCTCCCCTCCAAGGCTGCCAGCACACCTGGGTCACTGCAGGTGACCGGCTCCGGCTCGCTGAGGATCCGACGGGACACGCAGCCGGGACTTGGCAAAGCCAGCATAGCCCAGCTTGGGAAATCCCGGCTGTGCGTCCCATCGGATGTTGGGCTGAGCCTTTCAAGCTCRTTTTTAAATATAAAATCCTATTTATCCTCTTGTTCCCGATTTCAGGCTGTATAGGGATGCAGCGAGCGAGGTTCTTGGAGCAACCCTGTGGGATGCCCTCCCTCTCCTCAGGGGGCCGGCAGTGCCCTCTGCCCCTGCCTTGGACCGTTTCTGACTTTAATTTCTCTTGACTCCTCCGTGCTTTGATGCGAAACCCCTTGGAGCTGGGAGCTGCCAGCTGAACTTTGGCCCCTGGGTGGGCTGAGGATGCTCCTGTGATCTGGCCGTACCCTCTGCCGAGCAGCCCCAGGAGTTCTTTCTGCCAAGAAATAAAATAGCCAAAAAAACAAAGTCAAAAGTCTCCCGAGCAGACCACCCACATGTTGTCTTCCCCCCCACCCCCCCAAATTTTTCACTCCTCCCTCTCCCCAAGCTTTGCCTGGACACACAAAAGGTTTTTTTTCTCCCTTTTCATTTCTAAGCCGGGGAAGCGACGCTGGAGCCGAGGGGAACAGGGCGTGTGCCGTTCATCCCCCACCTTCCCCAGTGGCTGGAAAACCTCCCCACCGGAGCCGGGGCCTTCCTGGGGTCCCTCCTATTCAGGACTGCTCCTTGCCATCCCTTTGGATATGCCAAGCCTTGTTTAGGGACACTTTTATCACGGAGGGACACGGCCCCAGCCCTCGGCTTAGCAATGAAAAGGCTTTTGAAAGCTGCTGTTCCCTGTCCCCATCCTCACACCAACCCCCTCCACACCAGCTCCAGGCTTTCCTTAGAGGCATCTTTGCYCCTGAGTCTGAGTAGGGAAAAGTGGTGCTTGTTCCTAAGGCTTTCCATAAAGAACAAGATSCAGCAGCTCCTGCCTGGAGACAGAGGCTTGGGGGGGACGTGGGACTCCAGCAGCAGATGGGCACCATCCACAGGATGGAGTACTGAGAGGGTGAAGGAGCTGGGAATTTGGGAATTGTGTGTTTTATTTCATGATGTGCTGTGGTTTCTTCCATTCCTGTCTCCTGGGTGTTTCCCTGCCTGCCTTTGGTGCCTTGGTGGGATTCCCTGTCCCCTCCCTACAAAATACTCCCCACTGGAGTAGCCTCCCCTCTGCCTGGTGGCTGCACTCCTGGGATGATGTGGGCAGCTCTGGCCCCGCCATGGCTTATCCAGCCCTGCAGGTTCGGCTCCCTCCACCTCCCCTCCWAATTCACTCCAGCTCCTAATTGCATTTGCTGCTCCTCTTTGAACTTGCTCCAGTTTTACTATCTCTGGTAATGAGGTGCCTGGATAGAGATCCATTAATCCTCATGTCCTGGCAGCAGGGTGACGTGAGGAGGAGCTCCCGGAGTGGCTCCCTGCTATCCCAGAGCTCTGGATCAGAGAATCAAAGAATAGTTTGGGTTGGAAGGAGCTGTTGAATTTCACCTCATACATCCCTGGAATGCCCCATCCCGGGAGGTATTCAAGACCTGGTTGGATGGGGTTCGGAGCAGCCTGGTTTAGTGGAACCCCATGGCAGGGGATGAAATCGGATGGACTCCCACAGTTCCCAGTTAATGCTCTGGTTTTGGGGCTGGTGGTGGGTCCTGGCAGCCCCATTCTGTGTTCAGTGGGGTGTGAAGACCCCAGGCAAGCCTTGCTCAGCCGTGTGGTGCACTCCAGTCAGCTTTCTGCAGATGTGGTGGTGGTGCCAAGGTGTTTTTCCAGGTAGGGTCTCTGACCTGTCCCTCTACCRAGCCCCTGGGCATGGCCTCAGTGTCCCACCTGTCCCATGAGCCTCTTCAAAGCACAGAGCCCTTGTTAGATGACAATGCTGAAGGAAAAGCAAGGTCCCAGTAGATGTTTCCCCATAAATCCGAGGCGTTTGCTGTTTATTGTGAGTCCTTAAGCCCTTCAATCCATTTTTGATGTAATAACGTCCGTAATCCAATCCAACGCTTTTTGGCAGCGGGATGCAGCRAGAGCGGATCTATTACCCGGAGTGTTGTGTTAAAGCCCTTGTCTTGCATTTCTGTTTTTAGATGCAATTAGTCTTAACCTGGCAAGAGTTATTTGTTGTAAACCATTGCTGCCGCTGCGACGTGGCTTCGTCCCTGGGCCGTGCTCTGTCAGCATTTTCCTGTAGCTCAGCGTGGGGAAGGGGGTCACCTATACCCTGCCAGCTGCCAGGATCATCCTTCCTCCTCAGAAGCTTTTCTGGGACACGTTGCCATACTCGCTTTTCTGGCTGTGCTCCTCCAGCTTCCGTTGGTTTGGGAAGCCTTCAGCCCRTGCCAGCGCGTGTGTGCGGAGCCGCTCGCGCTCCTTCCTGCATTCCTTGGGATTTGATAATTCCCTCCCTGGTTCCTTGGGCTGGGGGCTGTGCCAGGGGGGGCTTTGTCAGCCCGCCAGCTCTTTGCTGATGGCATTTGAATGTGGCCACTTTCATGTGCTCCTCATCCTCCTTCCCACAGCTTGTTTGGTGGAGCRGAGTTGAAAGGCCAAGGGCCGTTTGATGCTGCGATGGGAGCTGTGAACTTCTGCTGATAAAACCCCAGTTAAGCAGCTTCCTCATTCTTCACCCAAACGGGCCCAGCTTGCGACACATCCGTACTGAGCAGAGCCGGCCTGGTGGCATCCATCTGGTTTTGGGGCTTTGCTGCTCCATCCCCATCCTGCTGGGAGCCACTGGCAGAGGGTGGTGATGCCGCGTGGGAGCCGGCAGCCGGACACAAACGGCTCTAACGGTGTCCTGCTCCCGACT